CGAAACATTCGTTTCAATCGGTGTTTAAAAAACTTGGCTTTTTGCCACTGCAGGCCCTTTTTATGTATGAAATGGGTGTTTATGTGGAAGCGAAAAAATTTATTTAAAAGAGAGAATTTCACCAATCCTCGTAATCGAAGCGACCCAAAGAGACATCTAGAATTACGAAATACCAAATGAACGCAAAAAATAAATGAAATTGGGGATAAAAAAAAAATGCAGGAATGGTTGACGGATAACCTTTTTTAGAATTTATTAGTGCATGCCATGTATGCACCTATACATGGTGGCAAAACACGCAGTTCTAAAATGTAAACAACAACTCTTTTTTTTTTACCGTGTTTTATGCAAATAAACTCATTGTTGTTGTTTATCACTTTGGATAAGATTCAGTTGGTCGACGGAATGGCGTAAATTCTGAGTTTTTAATCAAAATCATTTATTCGTCTACGTAGGAAATTCATTTGTCGATAGTCATATTTTTTTTAAAATCTACCACCGTTTCTTAATGAGGTTCCTCTAGCGGAGAAGAAACAGGCGAAAGAAACTCCGTAGGTATCTTCTTTTTTGTAATTCATTTATTTTTCTTAAAAAAATTAAAATATTATGCAACAGATTTTTTTTCCTTTTAGAAATAGCTTGGGAGCGATCAACTCATTCCCATTCATTTGTATTATAATAACCCTTTTTATAAAGTTTTTCTTTAATACATTTTTTAAGCCTGTTAATAGGTAGGTTTTGCGCATTTACTGGGATTTTGTTGTAAAAGCGTATACACCGCCCCATGAACGACTTACTCTTTGGAGTCTAGTAACTGGCGTTTTATGGTTTTTTCTTTTCTCTTACCAATTTTACCGTTAAACTTTGACCGCACTAACGTATCCTAAAGGTGCTGGGCTAACTGAATGTCATGAAGACACACGCCTTAAAACTTTAATGACAATCATCTGTCTGATATCCGGAGGCTGTGGGTGTTTGGGTGTGCTCAGTGCATGCGGGTTTCTCGTATGTGATCGTTGTGATTGAACTACAGATTCATCATCGTTTCATAGCTGATTAAAACAAGTTTTGTTTGGTGACATTGAGTCTATATCTTGTTCAAAAATAGATTACAGATTTCGTTAACGACCTTGACAATGAAAAAATATGCGAACTCCATAATACTAAATATGGAAATGGCTATTAAAATCCCACCCATACCGCCAACGCTACCTGTGAAAAAAAGATTATGTATTATTAATAACTTACTTTTTTATAGATTACTAAAAAAACAGTTTTGCGAAATTGGACTCTAAAGTAGATATTGTTACTTTTAATTTTATTGTTAATTTATAAATAAAGATTAAGTTAGTAAAATAATTTGTGAGTTATACAGCGTGTCGTTACAACCGCGACTGTCGAAGGTCACAAAGCATATGAATGGGTTGAATGAATTAAAAAGAGATAAAACATACTGTTAGAAGGAGAGACTTGTATCGACGTTTTGGCAACGAATAAAAAAGTCTCTGATTGTATGAATCAGTCTGTTGTAGTTGTATAGGATGTTACAAATTTTGTTTCTTTTGTATATAATTAGTTTGTTTGAAAAATATATTTTATTAATTATTTTTTTATAAATGGATTTTTTTAACGTTTTATATTTTTTTATGATTATTAACAAGTAACGTTAGACGTGTGTTCACTTATTGTCGCGGTTGTAACGACACGCTGTATATAAATTAATTCTTAGTCTAATTTTAATTCGTAAATCTTTTTTTAATCACCTGACCGACTTTAATGGGGAGAAGTATAATGTAAAACAATTGCTAATAATATGTTTCACATCTCTATCAGTCTCCTTTATTGAAGTCTGTTAATAAGACCATTTGAAACAAAGAAAGAATTTTTCAAATCTGTCTACCTGTATATTTTTTTATGTGAATTGACCACTGCTACACCCTAGGGTTCCAGATGCCTTGACAACCTTTTGAAAATTGCGCTCCGGCCACCTCACTCACCAGACGAAATGCGAAAGGATGCTTCCACTTAACGCCGGTTTTCAGTGAGGTCGTGGTACTTACCCGGACGAGCCTGCCCATTCGTTCAACAGTCGAGGCTGGCTGGACTGCCTGCTGCGTGGCCCTACCACCGTATAATAAGAAGGATATCTTTTGATACCTTTTTGAAGTCGGCTAAATTACGCGTCGAATTGACTACCTTCTTCGTTTTATTTTAAAGACGGTTAAAATGATTAAAGAACCAAAGTACCTTTATTCATCAGCTCAGCGTCATAAGATGATGATGACCATACGCCAAAATGTCAAATGCCTTTATAGCTTTAGAAAATACATGTAAAACATTGTTAATACCTATAACATTTGAGGACTGCCCTCAATTTCTCTGGGGGTCCCATAATCAGATCCCGGTTTGCTTATCATGGTACTGCCCTTGGGATGTCTCCTTTCCAACAAAAAAAGAATCACCAAAACCGGTTCATAAACGGCAAAGTTATCCGCGAACACACACATAAAAATATATATATACGGTCGAATTGAGAAACCTCCTTCTTTTTGAAGTCTGTATGAGGATTGAGTTTGTATTATAAATTATATAAAACGATTTTGTATAAAAGGTTTTTTATTTATTACTTGATGAATGAATTCCATAGATGGAGTCGAAGTAGAATATGAAGAGGGTATACGCGAGCTCACGGCAACTACCATACTTACTGACTACTTCGAACCAGGTGGATACTGCGTCCAAACGGGTCAAGACCCCATGGAACGGCGAATGGTATATGGAGACGCTGCATTTGTTTGTCATGTTTATATTGGTACTGCAAACAAGGGAAGTGCTCAGAAAGTGGTTCAACAAACAATAAAGCATTAGTTACTAAATATGAAAAAGAAAATCATTATATAATGTAAATAATTACCTTATGTACATTTACATAACATGAAAGTAATTTGTAAAAATTAATATTTGACGGGGAGAAATGTGACGTTTGTAAACAATAAATGAAGGGGTGAAAGTAAAAGCATAAATGACTATTTTGGAGGAAGATTCTGAAAATGGCAGGTGGTTAAGCTAATGTAAAATTATTTTCATTGCCAACCCTTGGCGACCTTTACCAATATGAGCTTCAGTCACTTACCAAAGAAAATGAAAAGTTAAAATAATTTGCATCGGTTTTCTGTGACGCCATATGATACTATCTCGGACAATCGTTCCCGTTCGTGCAAAAGCAGAGGCTGAAGAGGTAATATGTTATTCGTATAAAGGCTAACACTTGAATATGATGCACCGATTGAGATTAAAATCATGAAAAGCCCAGCTACAGTGCGCATAGAGAGTTAGCAGTCTTTCATGAAATTCGCGAAGCTATTTCGATTTCATTTGCGGCCAGAAATCTCCCAACCTCGTACTGACCGTTGGTGTCCCTTAAGATATGGAGTGACGATCTGTGAAAATGTGCGGGAAATCGAAGGATACAGGTGGATCAGGATTGTGCTTCGTTGTGACCACTGGACTTAAACAGGCTGAAATTATGATGATGGTGATGAATTTTATTGCCATCTATTAATATGTATAAAATTATCATATATATATATATCAAATATAAAATTAATTTATATTAATAATTTTTGAATCAAAATTCATAAAAATTAGAGTTTTAAAAAAACATTTTACCCATAAAGCGAAATCGGAGGTATTAGTTTGGATAAAAATTCAGTTCTAAGGGCCACGCCAATATAATAAAAAAATACAAAATAAAACGGCTAAGAAGAATATAAAACATTTTGAATGCTATTAAATGTCTAATTGAATTGAATTGTATGTATAATATTTGGGAATTTTGAGAATTTTAATGACTATTATATTTTTGCTATCGTCTTGTTAGAAGCATTTAGGTTAGGTTAGGTCGGCATTACATCCCCTCCGACCGGGTTCTCACCTTGACGTGGTGGAGGGGCTTAGTAGCCGTGGTTTGGTCACCCACGGTGAAGCTAAGAGGCACCCACACTGGACCGGCCTGGGGTGTAAGGCCGGCCCGAGAGGGCCGCTCCGAGTGGGCTCATTGGATTGTGGGCTCGGGCCCACTCTGGATGCGTGCTGGAGGGTGCAGGGGACAGGTCGAGGGTGGTAGAGGTGAAGCCACTCTCCCTGTCTTTTACTACCGAGGAGGATTCGCGGGGGAAGAGGAGTGTCGGTATTGCGTTGGCCGTGCTCCCTATCCTCCGCGAGTCAGCGGGGCTGCACCGCTGATGCAGTGGTGGTGGGGCCGCGGGGGGAGAGGAGTGTCGGTATTGCGGTGCGCCGTTCTCCCTATCCTCCACGGCCGAAACATGGTTAGCGGCGGAGCCACAGACCCGGTCCGCCGCTGGGGGCTGGGAGGCTTGCTGTTTATTAGCACTGGCTCTCCTGGCTCCCATGCCCCCGATCAGCGAACTCGGGGGAGTTCGTTGGCCGTGAAAATGGGGCCGAGTAGGAAGGCGCGCTGAATGTTCCAGCGCGCCTTACCTGGAGGAGAGGGGAGTTGCTCCCCGGGAGGGGGCTGCTAAGGCGGCCAGCGCTGGCAGGGTCGCGAAAGTGTGCGAAAGCGTTCCCGTGACCCTGCCGATATGCGCCTAGGTGTAACATCGTGGGGGTTTTAATCAGTGCGAGTCCGACATAACCCGCTCCTGCCCCCGCGAGGGCGGCTATGCGTAGGCATTTCTCACACGTCAACAAAAAAAAGGTCGGCATTACATGTGTAGTGACCGCGATCTCTTCTAGAAGCTAGAACAAATAAATCAAATCCGCGTGACATGTGGGCTTCTTTTCTCGTACAAAATTATTATTCAGCGAGAAAATTCCGCTAGCGTTCTTGGCACCATGCCGCGTGGTAAGCCCACGGTGCATGAAGCTAAGTTTATAAGATTAGTAATTTTATTAGATTTACCGATGTAATTGTTGTTAAATAAATTCAATTATACTCATAATAAATCAATTCCTCTTATCTGTCTTTAACATAAATATTACTTTCTACTTATGCGATAAGGTAAACAAACATACTCTAACATTCTATACTGCTTAAGCCCTTGATCGACGTATAATTGCGGCAGATCGATTTTGAAGGTCTTAGATTTGTAATTAATAAACTCGCAGTCAGGATAGCAGGCGGGGCAATACAGAGCATCTTGGAACTCCATCTCCAAGCCCTCTTTACGCTCCGCGCCAAACGGGAATATAAAGCGGAGTTTGTCTGAAAGAATAGACTATATAAATTGAAATGTAAGAAAAATATTATCGGTTACATACGCACACTTTTCATTAACAGTTTTATCCAAACAAATATTATCGACTCAACTAGGGAAAACACAGCTTAATGATTAAACTAACAGATAAATAATTTATTTCAAGTTAAAATGAGACGACGACGAAGCTTTCGTAATTCTTCTGTAATGCAGAAAATTTACGTAATATTTTTTTATGTGAGAAGGTGGCAAACGAGCTGACGGTTCACCTGATGTTAAGTGATAACCGCCGCCCATTGACAATTGCACCATCTGTAGAGAGTTGCAGATGCGTTGCCACCAATAAATTGGGTCCCGGCTACCTCACTCACCAGAGTAAACGCAGAAGTATAATACTTTCAATTCACTTCTCGCCGGTCCTCTGTGAGGTCGTGGTTCTTACACAGACGGACTTGCTCATTCATGCAACAGCGGAGACTGTTGCTTGGCCCTACCACAGTTTTGAGCAGGTATGGATTTCAGAATCACGATCTATTTAATTGTAGTAATTATTCTGATCGTTTAATTTCTATTTCGCCACTGCGTTGTTTTTTCTCGTTGTGTTCTGCACTACATGGCTAAGGTAAGCGTCGCTCGTTTACGGGAATACCTTGGTATTTGTTTAGGCACGGCAATTGCTGCAACGTGCACGAGGGTATGTCCGAACCGGCCGGTAGGAAGTACGGTGTGCATTTGCATATGGTCTGGATGGCGATGATCCGACACCGGACTATGCAGGCGTTGTAGGAGTACATATCGTTAAATATTTCCTTCCTTTCATCGTGAAAGAGGCACTTTCTCTGTCGGAAGGAATTACTTTGCTAAATGACTCCGTGGCGCAGTTGCAAAGGCATTGGGTTCGGCGCCGGGGGTGGTGGGTTCGATCTCCTCACGAGGGGACAAGAATTTTGGCCCGTGGATAGTTGTTTCGGATCAGGTCGTTTACCGATGTGAAGTTCATGTTTGTGAAACGTCCTTACCACACAGGATACTGTTATCCTCCATTAAGGGCAACGTTTATCAAAAACAAACAAAAAGAAAAGAATATATAATATCGCACAAATAAAAATAAATCCCCGCCCCAAATGTCCAAGGTTGGCTCGATGATGAAATGGCACACTGATGAAAATTAAATGATAACACATCCTGAAAATGAATTGATCGCTCCAGGATCTTTCGAAGTGAGCTTTAACACACTATAAACATGTTTCTTTTCAAATAATGATAAAAAAAATGTCCCGTTGCTTTCGCCGGTTCTTCTCAGGCCAGTGGCTTTTCTTTACCGAACCGGGTGGTAGCGTTTTCACAATCAATAAGTAAGTGTACCCAATACTCCTTATTGAATAAAGATATTTGAACTAGAACTTGAATTTGAGTTTTCGTCGGTGTGGAAATCAGCCGTTTAGATTAGCGGTTAAAGCGTCTGGGCGTGAATCAGGAAGAAGTGGATTTGATTACCGTAATAATTTTTTCCAATCACGCCAAAAGAAGTATATAGGTATATAAATTCTTTTACGCGCGATCAAATTGCAATCAGAAACTGCCGTTCCTGCAAGAACTTCTCATTTTTCCTTTAAGAATTAATGTTCATAAACAATTTAAAAAAAATGTCACCGATTTACCGTTTTAGGTCCGTATTTCCGCACTTCACTAGTTGCGACCTGCTTTACCGATTGGAGCTGTATGTAAATCGCCTTGTCGGGCTCAACGATCCGCTGGATCATCCGGCCTCCGTTCGGGTCAGCGAAATGCATTGAATCGAAAATCAGTATCTATATGAAAACAAATTTTCTATAGCAAACGTAAAATCTTGTATTAACTGATGTTTTTGCTTTCAGTCCCGAGTCTATTAAACCTTCATCTGACGCAGAACCGGTGGGCTAGCCAGAACCTACGGGTTTGGGCCGTCCGCTGTGGGTAGGGCCGCGCATGTGCTCATGCGTGCGTTTAACTATTGTAAACGTAAAAGCTAGTCTCGGTCCGACCCTTCAGTGTCGAAAGATTTCACACTAGATCGCGCCAAGCACTGCAAAAAATGTGATAGAACGAACGTAGATAGATGTGGAAATTTTCGCACCGAGACGTCATCGGACGCCTAGCTTTGTTGGAAACCCGCAGCGCCGAAAGCTTTTTTTACACAAATTTTAATTAAATTTAAAAAAAATACAATTGAAAGATTTCAAGTTTCAACTTGACTATGCGTCTGAACTAAACTTCTTACCTTGGTCGTTTTCTGGTAAATGTGTACGAGTATTAACATCCATTTAAGGGTTTTTGTTTAATTGTGTTTTTGTTTGGTTGTGTTAAAATACAGTTCTCTGATTTCAACTAGCTTCTTTTGCTGTATGCTAACTTCACCTTCATTCAATCGTGAGGACCAACATGAATAATCGAGGAGTTTAGAATCTATACTCACTTCTATTCCGTGCACGATGCGAGATGTGTAGGCGTAATCTTCGATTAATGGGTCTATTATTATGTTCAAACCATTAAAGTCGCCGGGGTGAGACTGTCGCTCCGTGGTTGGTTTAGTAGACTTAGGTCTGTGGCATTCAACAGATAAAATTTAGTTGACAATGGCTACAGTCGTCATATTTAAAATAATGTTACAAACTTTACAGCATTCCCTTTTTATTTTGGAATGTGACTTAATCATTGTGATCATTGATCATGAATGAATGATTCAGGTAATAACCTAAAAAGTATACACGAAACAAAACATACCTACTAATTTTCATGGTGATTGCCATTTCTCACATAAAAAAAACGGTAAACTTGAGACATTGTCTACTAATATAATTACATAAATTAGTAAAAAAAAATTAAAGTTTATATCGCAGTTTTATTGCGATTTTGGTGTTTAATAAAGCTTAATTTTTGAAAAAATCTGTTTTTTGAAGAGTCTGATTCTAATTTTTTTTTTAAATAATAATTCTACTTCATTTAATTCGAAACAACATCGTTTTTAAAACTACCTACTCCAAATTGCAATAAATTACGATCGCAAGCCGTAGCCGCCACTGATCGGTGATCAAGTGATCAGCACGCCGTAAGCGCTCGTGTAACTTTTCCCGCGCCCCGAATTTCAAGCGCTCGTATTTTAAACGTAGGTAAAGTAAAATCTATTATTATGCCACGACTACGTTTGGATCATGGTAAATATTTTTTATCGTATCAAATTGTTATTTATGGCAAGTTAATTGTAGGTGTGGAAGCTCAATAGCTATGTTTTTACTTTTTATAATGATAAATCACGCAAATCGACTTGAGGAATCGACGCCGTGCTGCGTACAAATTGAGGGGATGGTAGTTACAAGCAGAAAGGTTTTGTCGCTTGAACTAAGAAGACGTTGAGTATACGTCTCGTTGAGTTTGGGAAGGCTTACCAAAGGCAAGAAAACCAATCAACTCCCCTAGTGAAGTACATTTTGTAAACATACAACTTTGACCACATTATTTCAATAAAACGTGGTAGGGACAATGAACGAAAGGCGTAGGCTAGGTCTCTTTATATAAGAGGGACTATTTTATATTGTTATGGCCACGCATGGATTGAAAGACATGCGAAGCTTCTATTCTTTTGCGGTACGCATTATGAGAGGAGAAACTATTTTATTTAGTCATGGCACCGATGTGGATGGTTTGAATTATAGAGGATTCCATTCTTTTGCTGTACGCGTAATGACTCGGTTCGAGTGGGTGAAAGTGGTCCAAAGAACCCCTTTCTCATGGAGGGATTATTTCGTGTATTTCCAACGCAACGTGGATTTAAGGGATATCCTGTAAATAATACATATAATTAAAAGGGGAAATATCTAATATATAAAATTGTCGTGTCACGGTGTTTGTAATTGAACTCCTCCGAAACGGCTCGAACGATTTTCGTGAAATTTTGTGTGCATATCGGCCAGGGTGAAGAATCAGACAACATCTATTTTTCAACCCCCCAAATGTTAAGGGTGGTCCACGCCAAACATTTTTTGTACCCTACAAATAATTTATATGGCAAAACAACGTTTGCCGCGTCAGCTAGTCATACTATAAAAGTAGTCTGAACGTACATCCCAGTCGCGTTGGCATAGTCCAGGACGTAGTTGAACGCGCAGCAGTGACCTCTGAACGTACGCTGCACGGTGAAGAGCTTCTTACAATCGATACGTACGCCCGCCCACATGCAACCGAGCAACATCTCCTCGCAGCTCGGCGCTAACTAGAAAAGTTGATATTATAATTAATAAAAATACACATAAAAAATTATTGCTCACTTATTCTCATATTGTTTACGCGTGAACCGGAACGTCATCGGCGCAGGCACTGGAGGTAAGCATCCCCACTTTTTTTCTACAACAACCTACCGGCAAAGCGGGCACTACTGTTCGGTCTAAGTATATATATTAGTAGATATATAGTAGATATATTCGTAGATACCACAATCCATAGCCAAAATTACCGATGTTCAAAAAGTTTACGTTTGTCAGGAGATAACTTTATCATAAACTCATGTAGCAAAGGATGTTATACCACTAATGAAGAAATAGTTTTTACTACAAGGTTAAATTATATGATTGTGCATTTGGTAAAGGAACTAACTGTCACATTATTAAGGATGGACATTATTCGATGACTCCGTGGCGCAGTTGCCAAGATATTGGCTCCGGCGTCGGGGATCGTGGGTTCGATTCCCACACAGGACAACTATTTGTGCGACCCACAGATAGTTATTTCGCATCTGGGTGTTTGTCCTCGTGCAATTTATGTTTATAAAACGTCCTTAAAACACAGGATAATGTTATCCTAAAGTGAGGGCAATGCTTTTTAAAAAAATTAATCAAATCAAATCAAAATCAATTATCGAGTAAAATTCGTATTCAATTCAAGGAAGATAAAAAAAAAACGAATAATCTGGAGGATTTAAAGGCGTTTAAAATTTAAATCTAATTTTATTTGTGTAAATAAATCTCGAATCAAATACCACATTTGTAAAAAATTAAAATTATACAACTAAATATTTTTTATTGCTTTACTTTCGTGGTGACAACTGTCAGTCCAATGAAAGGAACAATTTGCTGGAAAGCCGTAGTTATTTTGTCGATAAGAACTGAAAATGTAACTGCGCTCACTTACATCTCTCATTATTGTAATAATATTCTCGGCGTTCTCGTAGAAGCTATCGGATTTGCCAATGTAGTTACTTATAAAAGTTTCATTGTACGTGAAATCCAACAGGCCTCCAAGCTGCCACGTCATCGTTTCCGTAACATCACCACTTACGTTTCTTTTTAAACTGCAAGAAATTCTCATGTTCAAAAATCTTCGTTCAATTTATACGTTTTGTTATTTAACTACCTATGTAAATTCTCTTATTGGATATCTCAAAGTTATATATTTAATATTATCTCATAACTCTTTTTTTTATGTGTAAAGTTGCCAAGCGAGCAGACGTTTCACCTGATGTTAAGTGAATACCGCCGCCCATGGAAATCTGCAACACCCGAGAGTTCCAAATGCGTTGACAACCTTTTGAAAATTGGGCTCCGGCCACCTCACTCACCAGACGAAACGCGAAAGTATTATACTTCCACTTCATGCCGGTCTTCTGTGAGGTCGTGGTACTTACCCGGACGAGCTTGCCCATTCGTGCAACAGCCGAGGCTGCTGCGGGGCCCTACCACCGTAGCTCACTGAGAAAGGATTCGGCAAATTGAACCCATTTTACCATCACTCTTTTCTCTATTCGGGAATGCTATAAAAATATAAAAGGCTCTCGATACTGGCAGGTTGGATTTAACTGTGGTAGTTCCACGCAACTGTCTTCGCTGTTGCACGAATGTGTAGGTCCGCCCGGGAAAGTAGCACGCCCTAACCGAAGACCGTGAAGAAGTGGAAGTGCTATACTTCTGCATTTCGTCTGATGAGTCACGTAACCGGAGCCCACTTTATTAAAAGTCATGCCTATGGAAAACCTATGGGTATGGCAAATGTCAAAGGGCGGTGGATAGCACTTAACATCAAGTGAACCACCTGCCCACCTGACACCTGCTCACGTTAAAAAAAGTCCACGCTTTAAAAATACCCCGGGGGAAGCTTCTCTACTTATCTAGTGACCGTCAAAATTGCTGCTCCAAACGCAGTAAAGCCGCGGGCGTTTATAAGCACGCTACTTTAAAGCGTATATCACGGTTAAAAGTTAAATTGCGATGACAAATGAAATGACCCTTTATCCTCGACGTAATGAAAACTATCGTTCGAAAGAATATATAAAATAATGGAAGTGCCTGGAAGTGTCAGTCTGCCCATACAAATGAAAAAAAAATACTACGGCTAATAATAATGTGTTCCTAAACACAATCCAACAGTTTGGTTTTAAATAAATTATAACATAGTGAAATAGTTCTTATTGTGGCTGTCTACATAAAACGCTATTCTGCCATAAGTTATTAGGTACTCATTGGAATTATTAGTTATTGCAAATATTATAAATGAGACAGCTGATTATCATTCGAAGCTAATTATTATGTTCGAAAACTCTTCAACTTCTGGCTCCGCATTTTTATATTCACCCTAGACTCTAGGGATACAAGACCATAAATGGAATTGGGTCGGATCTGTGATTCACTATGAACCTAACCTGACCCACTATAAGAATCCACAGAATAATTATTTATATATAGGATATAACTAGCCTACCCTATTATTAACTAGCTCACCCGGCAAACTTTGTCCCTTTGTTATATTTTATGCCGTCAAGTCTAAAGTCCATGATTTTAATAATTATTTTAATGCATTGTAATGCACAACATTTTTAATTTTTTCGCACACTTACTTTTAGGAGGTTGTTAAATATTTGATATTACTTTTTTTATACGAACTAACAAATAAAAGAAAGATTTATCCAATTTGGTGCAGTCGTTTGGAAGTTATGCGCCTACAAATATTTAGGTGATTCATTTTTATTTATATAGATAACACTAGCTGACCCGAAAAACGTTGTTTTGCCATATAAATTATTTGTAGGGAAGAAAAAAATTTTTGGGGTGGACCACCCTTAACATTTAGGGGGATGAAAAATAGATGTTGTCCGATCCGTTTCCACCCTGGCCGATATGCAAATTTCACAAAAGTCAGTCGAGCCGTTTCGGAGAAGTTCAATTACAAACACCGTGACACGAGAATTTCATATATTAGACTATCTTCACTTACTATTAGTGACAATATATTCATTTTTATTATATAGACACTGGTGGCAGACTACAGATTCGTAAAACAGATATCTTTTTGCGTAAAAATTCATTACGTAAGCTAAGATTAGTATAAAAGATTAAGGCCGAATTTAAAAGTGAAAAAGAATTTTAGTTGTGGTTCAAACAGTATCTCATTGATGTGTAAGAAGAAAACGATGAGATATCCCAAGAACAAAAAGTTTGGGGCATAGTTTGCGTACGTGTAACTAGGAATACAGATAAAATAGAACTCACATCTTTTCCTCAAACTCGTACAAGGCCTTTTTGCTTATTCTGTTAACATTACAGACTGCGACAGCTGGAAAGTCTAATTCCGTGATTGGAAAGGTTGAAGATTCCATAGACACTACCAATGGCGTAGAGAGGTTTTCGAACCATAAATGCCAGGTAAAGTAGAAAAAAATTCCGCACATGCCACCAAAAAGTATGAACCACACGATTCTGCAGAGTATTAATTATAATGGAGATTATATATACTATATGATTAATTAATTATACAGGGGAACATAAAATCTGTAGATAAATTTTCGAAAAGTTTTATTCCCGGCCGGGCTGAGCCTTCTGGGTTATGCATCCAGACGCTCTAAACCACTAAACTAAGCGTTCTTTTTTTTGGCGAATGGCGGTCAGTTATAAAATGACAAACCTAACTTAACTGAAAAGTTCAGTTATTTAATTGCATATAGTAACTGTACACCACGAATATTCCGCTTTTTATGTTTAACAATTAACTTTACATGGTAATGAATGTATCTCTGAAATATGTGTCCGTTATTCGTAGCAGCTTTGCAACCCCACGATTGTTTTGAATGTACATGAGTTTGCTATGCCACTTCTACACATAACATGATAATATGACTCATAATATGTAAACTTACATTTCTTAGCGGGGCTACTTTGTTTTATACTATGATTTGTTCAATCGGTGAGTCTCAATTACAACATAAATTAGTTTACTGACCTTTCTTTAAACGGAGTTTTAGGGTCGCTCATCTGTCTCAAGCCAACAATTGAACAGCTACTGACATATTCCATTAAGCAACGTTTGAATATGCTTTTTATTGCTACATACAAGTTTACTTTCTTCCGCTGACGGCATTGCCTACGTCTGTATTCTCGCCACCATATCTCTTTGCCCTCCGTCATTCTCAAAATATTATTGACGATTTGTTTTTTTTTTGTGACCAAGTGGATTCAGGGATTTAAAATGAAATGTGCAGCGGGGCAATACTTATTTATATATAACGTGAAGGTACATTGGCAATAGTCACGACACAGCTAAGCTAGTGAATATTAAAGAAGTTCCGTATAGGATTTTAATGTTTCCATTTTTGACGGTATTAGTTATTTATTTATTTATTAACACTTTTTTGTACAACCCGGTACAAACGATGCTTTTTCTTAGTGCCATATGGCATTTTCTACCGGAAATTGAGTGAGAGAAAAAAGTGTAGGTGCTATTAATTAGAACTATATGACCTGACAGACTTTTCCTGTACACAAGTGTTAAATCCTAAAACTCCAAAGTCTTTGAATAAGTTTGTGAATCTAAACCATTCTCGAATCTACCTGAAGACACACAAAAAATTTCATTAAAATCGGTCTAGCCTTATAGGAGGAGTTCAGTGACATACACACGTACAGAAGAATTATATATATAAAGATAATATTACTTAGAACAATACAATAATACCATATGGTAAAAGGGCAAGCGGTTAAAAAATGGGGATCCCGGATGTTTCACCCACCCGGCGAAAAAGAAAAACACTTCCGTACTTTACGCCCGCTCAGCAGAATTCATAAAACAGCAGAAGCTGTTGCATGGTCCGTGCAATTTTAAGTCAAGATTTCAATTACAAATTATGCACATACAACATTGGAGGAAGGAACATTTCAAGAAATTTTTCTCCAATTCCTTTTGTAGTTATGTGCATAATTTGTAGTGGAACTACACCGCCGATCTTTATGTTTGGTAAAAGGTTTTACCTTTTAAAAATAAGTCAGCCCATTTCATCCTATTGGTCATGTCATTAGATGCGACTAAGGGATACGTCACAAACATCTAGGGGCCTCCGACACATGCTGGGATAGTTGTCTAATCTCATGCTAATAAGTGGCAACAGTGTTAAAAGTGCTAGGTGTTTGAAATGGTGCGGTATCCAATTCACTCGCCAGGTATAGCAACTATGGCATGATAACAGTAAGACAAGGGTGCTAAGAATCTGCGACTGGGATTCGGCTACCAACGACGGTGACAGGACCTGGCAATATAACCCGACGAAAACAGAGTTATTAGAAGAGGCAAATAGACTGAGTTGGGATATAATAGGACTATCTGAAGTTCTGACTTCAGATAATTCTATTTCGTTCTTGTATTCAGCCTTCAGAGACATGGTGAGGACATGATAATAATCAAATTTTGCAACCCTTATTAACTTCGGGGTGGCAAACCAATGTCCCAAGTAGTTTATAGAGTTATCGTCTAAGTTTCTCATGAACAACGTTAAAACATTGAGGGTTTGCCATCGAAAGTTTTTTTACTTTATACTAAATATATCGACATTCGTATTATAACTAAATACATATTGTATTTCTTAAAATCTCCGTTTCTAGTCTTTCAAACAACACACTAATGATATACATATATGCAGAAATTTGTACTTTATTTTTATTTTATCAGAAAAATCGCTTTAAATTATACCTTCAAATTAGGTGGCTTAGCAACTACCTTCTGGCTTAGCAACTACTGGAAGAATTGGCCATATTAAGATCCTTAAATTAGATCGTCCACTCCATCCGATGTATACACTGAATTGATCAATATTATCTTATACTAGCTTTTCGCCCGCGGCTTCACTCGCGTTGAACCCCTTAAATAAATATCTTTCTTTAACCTTTCAACCTTTTACAACACTTTGTTCTAATTACAAAATAGCCTATGTCCTTTCTCAGGCTCTAGACTATCTGTGTACCAAATTTCATTTAAATCGGTTCAGTAATTTTGGC